ATTACTGGGGCCAGGCACAACTGTCTCAATTTAATTGATGATGATTTTCCGCGTTCGAAAAAATAAAAATAAATAATAGTCCAAAATCTGGTGATCATGTAACTTCAATTCAAAAAAAGTCTGGTGATCACATGTTGGAAGGTGGAGAGTGTGTGGTTATTTTAAGGCCAAGAAATTAGTAATTCTTCTGTAAACCATTAGACTCTGTTTAAAGACCTGAAAGTTGCCGACACCTTTTGCCCCCTTTTGCTCCGGCCCTCTCCATGCCTAGTCCAGGCCTCATCTTTGCCGTTCTTCTTCTTCTTCTTCTTCTTCTGGCCTTAATTCATGAAACCTGCAGTGCTAAAGATAAGCATTACTGTCCACCTTCTTCTTGTGGAAATAATTCGAATATTAGCTACCCTTTCAGATTAAACACGGATCCGCCTAATTACTGTGGAATGACGGTAGATCCAGTATATAATCTATCCTGTGAGAACAACCTTACAGTATTGTACTCTGATCAATTAAGAAAATTCTACGTGAAAGCAATCAATTATGACAATCAAACAATTCGAGTAGCTGATGCTAGTTTTGAAGAAGGGAGCTGCTCCATTCCTCAATATTCTTGGGACGCCGATAACTTCTCAACGTTTTCACAATCTTATTATTATTATTATTCCAATTCAAATTATGTTTATTTTAGGGAGAGGATTCTTTTCATAAGTTGCGGAAATCCTGTAAGTGATCCTCTTTATGTGGAAGCTCCTGCCTGCATTAATGACAGCTCTTTCTCCACACCTTATAGGCCTAAATCTGAAGGCAAAAGGTATTATTATGTGAAAATTGGAAGCACAACTGCACTTGAGTTAAAACCCTCATGCCGTATTGAGCTAATGGCTCTTACACCTTTCATACGGGAGAAGAATTACGAGAACCTCTCCTACCTGGACATCCACCATTGGTTAGCATATGGAATTGAGTTGTCGTGGCGGTATGCTTCATGTCGAGAGACGGATTTTTTCTACGTTAATGTGGAAAACCAGTGTGTTCCTTTTCCTTCATCTCATGGTACTTTAGAAACAAATTCTTTGGATTTGAATTCCAATTGTGCAGATGCCTTTTCATTTCTCGGTTGTATCACTTTCTAGTGGCAAAAGGTTTTGCCTAATTTTGTTTACTTCATGCAGTGAACGAAGATTTCATCATGACAGTTGTATCCGTACTTGGTAAGTACCCCTAATCGACATTTTGTTCAATTATATTATACATTTGAAGCAAGAATAAAATTTGGTTAAATGAATGCAACTGAGAGATATAATTGTTGCCGCCAACCAAATGCGGATGATCACTACTACTAGCAAACAATATTATTTTTTCACAACAATCATTTGTACCTAACTGGTTTTTTCTTTTATCAAATTTCTTCCACTACAATAAGTTGACATCATTTCTTTAAAAAATATTTGTCATCTCCTCGATTAAGTCCTTCCATAAAATCTCAATTACTTGAAGTTAATGCAAAGTTTCTTATGTCATTGTTGGAATTAAATGCATACAGTAAGTGCCTCTTATTGATCAATTACGAAGCATGAATATGATGATTGCCTATTTGTCACCAATTTACTGATGATTGATTATTAACAAAAAGCCAAAGATTAATTACAAGGCAAAAGCACAAAAAATAGTAAAGTATTAATGCTTGCTGTCTGAGAATGATCCTTCTTCCAAAGCCTATCTATCTGTCTTAAAGGTTAAATATAAGCACTCTAAAATTCAAATGTCAAAAAACAGAACACACAATATAATATATAAATCTTTTACCTAAATTATTTCACCAAAAACAAAAAACAGTATGTAAATCAATATTACGTTATGGCAAAAAATATTGATTTTTTTTTTTTTTTGCAGATATTGTTGCTTTCTATCATGGTCTAGTAGCTGTTCTTGGAATTCCAAGTTTCATCATATTTTTAGTCTTCAAATGGAGGAGAAGGCATTTATCCATGTATAATTCTATTGAAGAATTCTTGCAAAGTAACAACAACCTCATGCCTGTAAGGTATTCTTACTCAAAGATCAAGAAGATGACCAATGGTTTTAAGGAGAAATTGGGAGAAGGAGGTTTTGGTCAAGTTTACAAAGCAAAGCTTCAGAGTGGTCGCTTCGCAGCAATAAAAATGTTGGGCAAATCAAAAGCTACAGGGCAAGACTTTTTCAATGAAGTAGCCACCATCGGAAGAATTCACCATGTCAATGTGGTACAAATGATCGGCTTTTGTGCTGAAGGATCAAAACGTGCCCTTGTGTATGACTTCATGCCTAATGGTTCTCTTGATAAACATATTTTCTCAAAAGAAGGCAATATTGCAACTTTGGGTTGGGAAAATCTATACAAGATTTCTCTAGAAGTGGCTCATGGAATAGAATATTTACACCGAGGTTGTGATATGCAAATCTTGCATTTTGATATCAAGCCTCACAACATTCTTTTAGATGAGAACTTCACTCCAAAAGTCTCTGATTTTGGTCTTGCTAAGTTATACCCAGTCAAAGAAAATACTGTGTCCTTGACCGCAGCAAGAGGAACTCTAGGATATATGGCACCTGAGTTGTTTTACAAAAACTTAGGTAGTGTCTCTCACAAAGCTGATGTCTACAGTTATGGGATGTTATTGATGGAAATGGCTAGCAGAAGAAAGAATGTGAACCCATTTGCAGAGCATTCAAGTCAGATCTACTTTCCTTCATGGGCATCAAAGCAATTGAACAAAGGAATGGAGCTAGAAATAAGAGAAGCCAATGAAAATGAAAAGAGAATTGCAAAGAAAATGATCATTGTAGCTTTGTGGTGCATACAAATGAAGCCAAGTGATCGCCCTTCAATGAACAAAGTCATAGAGATGCTTGAAGCAGAACT